CATCTCCATACACATCTTGAGGTTTATGCTTTCCCTACTTGAGAAAAGAGGACCTGTACTAGGCTGGAATGAATATTTGGGGCTAGCATATAGCTAATCATGTAGGGCTTAGGATATTCAAAACCATTTTGGATTCTATATGAGCAGTGACGGAGCCATTAGTTATCTTAAGTGGAGGGTGAGTGAAACTAAAATTTTGCATTAAAATTTGATTGGAGTAAAATTAAAGGAATCACCTTAAATCAGTGGAGGCGGCTGTTCTTATTGGGTCCGCCATTGCATATGAGTGGTATTGCAGAAAAGAACTACTACGAGTCTAAAACTATAAACTTTTTTTAAAAAGAGGAGCAACTTGCTTGAGATGGCGAGGGACCAGCAAGACATGATAAAAAAGGGATTCGTTTGGTAGATGGATTCAAAATCATAATTTTAGATTACAGTTCAGAATCGTGTTTGTTTATAATCAGAATCATGATTCAGAATCAATGTTTAGTTTGGATGATTCTGAATTATGATTCAGAATCTGATGTGATGTTTACACTAAAATCACTCATGATTCTAAACCCCTCCTCTCTTGATTCAAGGTGATTCAAACCTCTGATTCTGAAATTTGAATTCTACACCTCAAAATAAAATTGCTTCTTCTTCTTCTTCTTCGAATCGCCCTTCTTCTTCTTCTTCTTCTTCGAATCGCCCTAAACTCAAGCGTATGAAATTTGAACTCTACACCTCAAAATAAAATTGTGGACTTACAACAATCTAGAGTATACTAACAACCACCATGTATATTCAATTAAATTGACATACACTTAGGATTGAACATATGTATTAAAAAAAATAAAAGGATTGATCATATAAATCAGAAAATTAAATCTTTTGAAGCAAATTGGAGAAGATGCAATAATTTGGAACGTCAAACGGGTTATCCAATATAAACTGAATTCATAATCTGACTTCTGAAAGAAATAAAAGTAAAAATGACATTGTAGATATGGAGTTTTCAATAACGATGGTCGATCACGAGATCAAAACTTTTCGGTCATAAATGGACACTGATATATCATACATGTAATAGCTGCATATCGGATATTAGGCTCTAAAACTGTTCAAATACATGTTATAAATAAAGGTCATTCCACAACCGGGGAAAAAAACAAAAAAAGGATAATTCTTCAAAAAGTGATAAATTTTTTTTTATCAATTTCGTCGTTAAGAATATGTATGGTCTCTTAGTACAGCCGTCCAAACATTTTATCCAATCTTTTTTATCGTTTTCTTTTTTCCTTAATTTCCCCACCCCAAACGCATTGCCGGATACAGTTACTGAGCCCTGGATTCTTAAATGACCTAATGCAAAATCAGCCATCAACAGAAACCAACACATGCCAATTAAAAGAAGTGCAAGAGAAGATTCTTTCCCATCCTTTAGTAGGATCACTAGTTTATTAAGAGGACGTTTGATTCATAGATTCAGAATTATTCTCATTTTACATATGTTTTTTGTAAGAAAAAATACTGTAGCGAGTCACGAATCATGATTTGAATCATGGCACGAATTCCCCTTTCAAACGTCCCCTAACTGTTTTGTTTATAGGAAATCAGTCTCCCTATTTTTATGGAGTAGTACTTGAGATTCCAACTCTTAGAATATCAATTTATGTATCAGTGAGCTGTCACCTTTTAATCGATAGGTGCAACTTTTAAATATCAATTGATTCAGTATTTCTTCAAACGCCTATCAATTAAAAACATAACAACCGATATACTATTTCGATCAGCATTTAAAAGTTTGGAATCCCTCGCATTTTTCATTTCTATGAGATATATATCATTATACTATTTGTTTTGGTCACCTTTATTTAAGAAATTACAAAACACGACATGATAAAAATATTACAGATAACTTTTTATTTGTTCCTCTGTCTCCGCTATATGAAAGGATAAAAAAGAAATTCCACTGCAAGAAGCTTCCAAAATAATTGAAAGAAATTGGCACTTTTTTCCTGCACATATAATAAAAACAAACTTGTAATTTGTAAAAAAAAAAAAAAAAAAAACAAAAACAAGTAATCTGCATCAATAATTTGTTAAATACTAAAACGTGTTCTTCAGCGCGTGCTAGAAACTGCATATTACCTTAGTATAATTTGCTTTGTCCAATTTCCTAGTCTGAAGCACAAAAGAAAATAATAAGTTTCAAAACTTGTTACGTTTTGATTTATATTATTATTTGACTGCTGAAATGTAAGTATCATTGACAAACCTCATACAGTAACCACAAGGACAAAGTTGCGTGAACGGGCACCATTATGTAGGGCTTGAAAGCCTTCAAACAAGAAACGACAAAAGAAACTTCTTTATTAGTTCTTATCTTCGCATTCATATATAAGGACAGGTTCGTAGATGGGAAAAGAAACCGTAATGATTTTTTTCAGAAAAATGTGAATCACACTCTTTTATTTTATTGTTTATTTTGTGTGGTCAATTTTTTATGATTTACTTGGATAAATTTATTATTTTATTTCAATTAAATAAAACACTATCCAATTCAGGTTTGTTCAATTGGGGTAAAATGGGTCTTCGCATACATATATAAGGACAGGTTCGTAGATGGGAAAAGAAACCGTAATGATTTTTTTCAGAAAAATGTGAATCACTCTTTTATTTTATTGTTTATTTTGTGTGGTCAATTTTTTATGATTTACTTGGATAAATTTATTATTTTATTTCAATTAAATAAAACACTATCCAATTCAGGTTTGTTCAATTGGGGTAAAATGGGTGTGTGAGTTATTCTCGATGATTTATTGAGTGGGCCAGCTCAAGTCTCAAGAATAGTGTATAGTTGAAAAAAAAAAAAAAAATACCTGAGGCATGCAAATGGCTACTACCATAGAACCAATGTAGTTTACCAGGAGTATCCCTGTGCCAAGGAATGTAATTTTTCTAGGTCCATATATCGCCGGAAATGTTCTTATATTATGCCTGTAATATTGTAGAATATTGCTTTAAATGATGCTAAAGATAAGTTTAAAGAAAAGAAAAAGAGGGATTCTTTTGAGATTGAAATGGGAAAATTTTCAAATTTTAAGTTTAGTATCTAATAATACATGAAAATTACAACTCACTTGATGTCACCTTCCACGTCTGGGAGATCTTTTATGTTGGTAACGACCAGATAAAATAACGTCATAAAGGTAGTGATAAAAATGATTGGGGGACTGGAAAGCAAATTGAAAGCCAAAAATTAGATTTCTTTGAGATGATGAATTTTGTGGGCGCATGAACTAAAATAGTATTAGAAGTTATGCTGGTAAATTAATATATTAACATAAAACTCTGGATAATTAGTTAAAAATAGAACACAAAAGGAAACTTAAATTAAAATATTAAAGTGGATACTGGATATTAAGTGTGCTTTTGAAACTCGTTCTAAAATGATTTTATTTTTAGTATGAAAATGGAAATGAAAACGTTTTCAATCTCAGACAGAAATCATTTTTAAAAATGCGTTTGGTAGTTTTATCAAGAGATTATTTTCAATATAAAAAAAAAAAAACTCATTAATACCTTTCTCTCTCTCTCTCTCTCCTCGAGAGAGGAGAAAACGAAAACAAAAAATGAAAAATAACTAAAAGTCCTTTTTCATTTCTCTCTCATTTTACACTAAACCAAAAAATCATTTTTATTTCTATTTTTTGTCTTTAATTGTGCCAAACGCAGTTTTAGAATCGTTTTCATTTTTTCTTTCCCGAAAAACATGAAAAACAAAAACAAGAACAATTCCATTTTTTTGTGTGTGTCTATTTGACCCTTTTTCGAAGTAATTATCTAAATTAATCCATATAATATTATAATTATTCTAGATAATATCTCAAAAAATAATGTGAAGGAATAACAGAGAGCAGCACATGAAAAATAAACGAAGATATTTAAGGTTCAGAATTTTTACACACCTCCACTGAAATGGAAGTCCAAGCGAAGCTCTTGTAGCGTAAAGTATACCGACATTGTGAAGGATACCGGCCATCTGCATAAGTTGCTTTTGTTATATCTAAACATCATATTTCTGTTTTCAATTAGATAGATATATGGAAAAACAAAACCGCACTCCGTAAGAGTGGAGTGGAGTGAGTTTAAAAAAGAGATCACAGACTCGAATTCTGACCACAGTTAACTTGTATTTTTTTTTTTTTTTTTTTTTTTAAAAAGTAATGTTTTCCCCTTTTATATATAGTGACCAAGAGAGAATTTAAGATGCTCTAAAATAGTAATTTTAATAACCTAACGGTATCTTCAAACCATCTATTGATTTGTTTCCTACTTGACAACTTGAAGACAAATAAATGACAGTAACGTTTTTCAAATTATATGTAAATTAATTTATCATGTCATTTATAACTTTTTAGGAACCACTAAATTTTCAATAGTGACTCGAAAACTTATTAACTAAACAGAGTTTCATTGTAAGATATGGAGGATATGAAAAAAATATAATAATACCAAAGGATTCACAATAGATGTCGCAAGAGATGATTGCTTGAATCTAAAAGGAGGAACAGAATAGAAGGTTCCCAATAAAAGACCGAGACAGTAGATAGAAGTAGTGATGATGTTAGCATTCATCATTCGAAGAATCAACAGGCCGGTAACTACATCAAATATCACTAAATACCATGCTTGTTCCAGTGAAATATCCCCAGCTGGTATAGGTAAATAAGGCTTGTTTATCCTAAAAGATAATATAAAGAACAATAAGTAATTAAAAAACTGTTTGTTAGTAGTTCAACAAAAATTAAAATAAAATAAATAAGCATGCACTGATTTGAGAAAACCACCGCTTTGATTCTAATGAATTGTTGACAAATTATATCGAAGTTACACATAAAGAACATACATAAATAAGCCAAAGGCCAAGACTATAAAGGCTATAACCTTTAAATTACTCAAGACAAAAGAAAACTTTTAACCAGCAAGGAGTACTCTCTAAGGCAGATATGAACATGAACGAAACATGGGTATGAGGAAACATAATATATATATATATATATATATAAAATATACATACACACTTTAAAATTAAGCGTACCTGTCAATATCCACGTCATAAATCTGATTAATTCCATTATAATAAGCATTTGAAAGTAGCATAGCAATTAGGCCAGGAAATGCCTTAAACAACAGGGACCATTTAAACAACTGCGGATTCTCAACCAACACTCTTGCAAATAAACAACTGCCGAAAAAAAAAAAGAAAGTAAATTCACACACCAAGAACTAGGGTTTCACTCTTGTTTATTTTTCCTCCTCTGACTCTAATTTCTTCTAATAGTTCACTTACGTTGTAGATATAATTGTCAGGTGCATTGAGGTGGGCCGTACAAATTTATAGCAAGCAGATCCAAAACGTGAAACTTTGGTAAGCACTGTCGAATCGTAATTATCTGCAGATTCAGCTTGAGCGCATGCCTAACAACATTTGTTATAGTTGTTAACAAAAAAAAAAAAAAAAAAAAAAAATTATTTATATCATGTTTAACTACTAGTGATTAATTTTCCATAATGACATAAGTTGCAAAGAGAACTTTATGTCATTTTTTGCGTTCATTATTTGACACGTAGACTCCACTATCTCATTTTTTATTTAAATAAAATAATATTTTATTTTAAATAATAATATAATGAAATCCACGTATCAAATAATAAATATAGAGAATGATAAAAAAAGTGATGCTACCATAAAATAAAATATAGTAGTATGTGTGTATATATATACCCGAATGGTATTACGCCTATCTGGGCCGTATAATAATGATTTTGAGAACCTACTTTCACCATAGAGCCCTAGTGGCAGGATTGATTTATTGTTGGAGCAATTTGAAGAAAAGTTGGAGGATTTGATTTTTTTGGTCGTGGGCTTAATTGGTATCACCCTATTGTCATGAGAGGAGGGTTTGATCTGTCGAGGGATAGTAGCTGAAAGTCTCAGAGAAGAGAGAGAGATTGAGAGCTCCATGTTTGTGAACTGAAGAAACCAGGAAATTAAAACAAAAAATTGAGAATGAAAAAGAGTTTGAACACAAATGCTTCGAGAGAGCTTCAAAATTTATAGGAGCATGATGATGTGGAGACTATTTCTAGTCTTTTCAAGTCTACTTGACTTATAAAAGTTTTTTTATTCCACTTAATTAGCTTTGATTCTAAAAGTTGTTAGTGGATTACCAGGATTGGTTATGGAAGTCGTGGAAAGCGTTCAATTTGGTATCTTATGTTATACTGAAATTGTTTTTTTTATTTTTTTAGGTGTTTTTTTCCTTTTTGTTTTAAGTGTTTTTAATAATTTTAAATTGATACCTCAACTTTTTAAAAATTTAATTTTTAGTACTTTGAGGCCCTTTTTTGGACATCAAATATTGAATTTTTATTTTTTAGTAATTTTTTATTTTTATCAAAAATTATCTATTTTGAGTATTTTTTAATTTTATATGGTTTTAATCTGATTTAATAATTAAAAATTAACATTACTGATATAATGTCATATTAAAGAAACTCCCTAAGTTTTATATTTGGTATTCCAAACGGTTTTATATTTTAAACAGAAAATAGGGATATTTTATGATGTTTAAAATAACCAAGTGAAAAAATAAAATTAAAAAAATGACTTTTTAATTTTAATTTTATTTATTTCTCCTCCCGCCGGAATCAATGGCAGCACTCCTGCAAAATCAAACACCAAGACTAGACACTTCTCCATTTCTCTCTCTTCTTTTCTCTCTCTCTTCTTTTCTTTCTCTTTCTCTCTCTATTTTCTTCAACCTTTTTGGTAGCTTCCAATCCAAAAGCAAAGCACTCCAAACAAAGGAAAAAGTGTAATCAAACATCTTTCTCCCGCTCCTCAATCATTTCTGCTAGTTACCACTGTGACTGAGGATCTGAAACCGAGATTGAGGAGTGAAAAGAAAAAGCAAAAAAATAAAAAATAAAAAAATCATTTTACAAATAAAAATTTTTGAATTGTCTTTTACGAATGCCTCTTTTCCAAAGGAGAATTTGTTTACTTATGATATATAAATAAACGAATAAGTTGACCATTAAAATAGAATTAGTTCTTTCTCTCCTTTCTATCTCCATCCTCCATTTCTCTCTCCTCCGATCTCCTCCGATCCTTCATTTCTCTCTCTCCGAGCTCCGTCTCTCCTTACCTTCTCCAGCACCGTCTCAGCCTCGTCATCCCTCTGAGATCCTTGTTGCTGAGAAGCTGGCAAAACCAGAGCTCACCCTTCAGCCTGTCGTCTTCATTTCTCTTAAATCTATTTGTGACCACCAATGAATTCGGTTTAGACATCAATGTAATTGGTTTGCCCCCACCTTGTGTTTGATAAATTGCTCTACTCATTTTAAATAAAAAAAAATTCTAAAAGCCCTTCTTTTATTTAAATTTTTAATTTGAATTGAGATGTGATTTTATATGAGAGTTTTTTACTGTACTAAAAAAGTTAGATGTAATTATTTCTAAAAATTTTTTACTGTAATAAAATTTAAATTTTAAATTTAAATCGGTGAAATAAACGGAGTCTAATTAAATTGTGTACATTGTTCAATTCATTTCATAGTGAGGTGAGAGAGAGTACAGTGAGAGGAATTGAGGAGAGAAAATAAGGAGAGACAATGATGAGAAAGAGTGAAAAAAAAAATAGGGCAAGTGAAATTTATTTATTTTTTCTTAGTCTTTTTTTTTTTTTTTTGAATGAATGAAGTCCTTTTTTAATATTAAGTTCTCAAACACAAGAAAAAATTTAACTTTTTTTCCTTTGAACTTTCTTTTAGATTTTTTTAATCCTAAAATCTAGGTTCTAAACATAGTCTAAATGTGATGAATTAAATTTTTTTTTTATAAAGTGAGAATTTTTAAAATGTAAAAGATAAAGTGAAAATACTTAACTCACAATTAAAATTAATCTCTTTTTTTTTGGTGCCGTGGGGAAGATAGTAGTCTTTTTTTTTTTAAAGTAGAAAAATCAAAGTGGGCAAGACCAGAGTCAATGAATGGAGTTCGGAAGCTTATGGCCTCGTTCATTTCACCAATTCGAGTTTTTAATTTTAAGTTTTTACAGTAAAAAGCTCTCAAAAAATGTCACATCTAACTTTTTTTACTACAGTAAAAAACTCTAAGAAAATATCACATCTCAACTCGAATTAAAAACTCAAATCTGCGAAGTGAGCGAGGCCTGTATCTCTGCAATTTTGAAAGGCTTAACTGGTTTTCCATGTAACATTAAGGTTGTACAATCATTAAGGTTGTATAATGGCTTTTTTCTTTCTTTTAAACAATCGTAATGACGACGAAGTCAGTCAAATACATAATTGTTGATAGAAAGTGAGGAGAGAGAGAGAATGTGAGGAGAGACGATGACGAGAGAGTGAAAAAAAAAATAGAGCAAGTGAAATTTATTTATTTTCTCCTAGTCTTTTTTTTTTTTTTTTTTAATGAATGGTCCTTTTTTGAATATTCAAACACAAGAAAAAATTACAAAGGAATCCTTTTTTTCCTCCTTAATTTTCTTTTAAGTTTCAAACACAAGAAAAAATTTAACTTTTTTTTTCCTTCCTTTTTTTTCTTTGAACTTTCTTTTAGATTTTTTTCCATCTTAAAATCTAGATTTTAAATAGGAGTGATAATTTGTGTAATGTGTCGTGTTTTTTTTGTGTTTTAATCGTTTCTTTTTAAATTTACAGTCAACCTGAACACGACTCGTGACATGAAATTTTTTAAAAACCACAACACGAATAACCATTTTACTGGTTGACACGAAAATGACATGTGACATGAAATTAACTCGTGAACCTGAAATTTACACGAAAGTTGTATACCTTTTTTTAGTTTTTTACATATTAGAAATAACTTAAAATTCATAACACACTAAAATACAATAAATTCCATCAAATTTAAGTAAATAATAATATAAGATTTTGAGTATAACTATCATGATATCATAAGTTCATAATAAAATCTAAAATATGTAATTAAAAATATATATTTTTTAATTTTTTACGAGTTTCGTGTTGTGTTCGGATTAGGTGGGTCTAACCCAAAATTGACCATTGTTTTTTTTGTCAATTTTAGGTCGAGTCAATTCTAACCCGAATAATTTTTTTCTTAACTTTAACCCGCGAAATTCGTGTCATTTTTTAATCGTGTTATTATGTCGTGACCCTTATTGCATGTCCTAATTCTAAACATAGCCTAAGTGTGATAAATTAAAAAAAATTTTGATAAAGTGAGAATTTTTAAATTTTAAGAGGTAAAATAAAAATAATTCCGAAGCTCACTAATAAAATTAATCCTATTTTCTTTTCTTTTTGTGCCGTGGGGGAAGACTCAAGACAGTAGTCTTTATTTATAGTAGCAAAGTGGGGAAGACTAGAGTCAATGAATGGAGTTCCAAAGCATATATTTCCGCAATTTTGAAAGACTTAACTGTTTTTAAGATCTTGTTTATTTCACCGATTCAAGTTTAAAATTTAAATTTTATTTCAGTAAAAAATTTTCACAAATAATCACATCTAATTTTTTTACTACAATAAAAAAAATTTATATAAAATTATATATCAACTTAAATTAAAAATTTAAATCAGTAAATTAAAAGTGTCTCAAGTTAAAAGGGTCCTAAGGTTGTACAATTATTGGGTTGTATAATGGCCTTTTGTTTTTCTTTGAAACAATCGTAATGACGACGAAGTCATTCAAATGTATAATTGTGGATAGAATTACTCCCAAAAGTCAACAAACCGAACAGACTTCATAAACAAACCGAACAACTTCCATTACTTGTACGATCAATAGTAAACACAGCACGTGCAACACCTCCAGGTCAATCTTATGTATTAATAAGAATATAAAATTGACATATAAAATTCTGTTCTGGTGCATTTTGTGTTCAAATCTATAATATCATTTTAAAAGCTACATTTATTTTTAGTTACTCATTTTTGGTTTGGAACTTGTGAAGGAAAATTTATAATTGGGTAATTGGCGTGATACAAATTGGGTAATTTGCGTGATTAGTCTCTAAATTAGATCATCTTTAATATAAATGTTAATAATATTAATTATATATTTAGTATTAAAAAGTATGATATAATATTTTTTTTTATTGCTCTAATGCATAATGTTATTTAAAATTCTAAATATATTTTTTCTCATAATCATTAAACTTTTATTTTTAAAATAATTATAAAATGTAAAAATTGTAATGATTACATGAAAAGTAAATATTTTAATTAATAGAAATTAAACTCTAAATTTTTCAATGTTATACTTAATGAGAAATTTACTACAAAGTATAGTATATAGAAAATTTAACACAATAAATAACATTATATTAAAAAGTATTTTTTACACTCAAATATTAAATTTACAATTAAAATATTAATTATAACATTACATTAGAGATTACAACTTTAGTATTTTATTTTTTGATTTAGGCAATCGAATTTATGAACTCTTTAATTTATTTGCAGTATTGGTAAAAGGATAACTGACGTAATCTGTTTTAACAGACTTCAGCATATGAGTTCCAGCTGATGATCTAGTTACGTGTTAAAATTTCAAAATAAAACCTCCTATTTCTTTCTCTTCATTGGCTCCCCATAGCCCGAGGGTCGAACACCACACTATTCTCCGGAGAAATTATTTAATAGATTAGGACCTCGTTCATTTCACCGATTCAAATTTTAAGTTTTAGGTTTTTACAGTAAAAAGTTCTCAGAAAATGTCACATCTATCTTTTTCTGTTACAGTGAAAAGCTCTCAGAAAATGTCACATTTGAACTCAAATTGAAAACTCGAATCCGCGAAGTAAGCGAAGCTTAGGTGTACTACGTATGTATGTATGTTGTACACTCACTTAATAAAAATTCAACATTTACTAATTTGACTATGTCCTTGCAATTATAGTTTTCTTTCCTATATGTATTACATTAATTATTAAGTTTAAATCACCATAATTATTTTACCTATTAATGTTTCATATTGATAATTTAAGTTTAATTTTATTTTTAATTCTAATTATTATTGTATACATAATTTACTCGGTTGTTTTGAACAATGCTTGCCATTTTATGGCAAAGGCGAATCAAGTTCTGATGTCTCATTTTTTTGTCTCAATGAGTCTCTTTAATAAAATTTGGACACTTTATGAATTGTTTAGGTATTTTTAGTATTTTTTTCTATTTATGTGGTTATATTCTTAAATTTAGATGACATAGCGAATATTAATGGAATGACAGTCACTAAGACAGAAAAATGGAGAGACAGAAAAATGGAGATAATAGATTTGGACTCGGCATACGCATATGTTTCCCTTCTATGTAATTGGGTTTGTATGTCAATGCAAGGCTTTCTATATTTAGCAAAAATCATTTTCGGATTTGAGATATGTCTACATATTTTTTTTCTTTAATTTGTATGGTTTACTTCTACTAATCCACAAATTGGATTTTCTATTACGAGAAGTTATTCAATTTTTTTTATTTCTGGGTGTAATTTCATTTTCTTTTTGTTTATTTTGTTGGAATTTTAATTCTATAAGTAATGATCTATGCTTAAAATGATAATTTATTTAATTTTTAGGGCGTACTACTAGTTTTGCGTGTTCACATTTTCTAAACAATCGATATCAAAAGGTTATGTGTTTAGCCCCAATAACTATATAGAATGTTTACCTATACGTAATCAGAATGAGCGTGACTTGGAGTGGGTAAGATTCAAAGTGAGAAATCAGAGTCAGAATAAGTTACTTATTTGGTGACAGGATTTGAATTCGACATTACTCTAAATCCAATTCATGCGTTTGCTTACACTAAAAATCGGAATAAACTAATATAAAAGAACTAATGTACCCTTTAATTAATTTTTTATTTTTAATTTAAAAATGAATTGTGTACTTATTATATTAAAATTAATCTTAATTAAAATATTTATTATAATAATAGGGTAATAAAATAATAAATGTAAATTGCATAACTATTTGGAATATAGAAATAAATTGTCAAATTTTGAATAAAATAAATATAAATAAAAAAATAAAGTGTTAAAAATTAAAATATATTATTACTTTAATAAACAAAATAAATCACATATTTATAATATTAAAGTTAATAATAATTAGGCTTATATTATAATATTAGAAAAATAAAATAATATGAGTTGTAATTATTAAATTTTTGATTTTATATTATAAGTAAATTAGGGGTAAGATAATAATTGAATAATAATATGAGAAATAGGAGCCCTTATTCGAAAAAATGGTATGAGATTGTCAAACTCAATCCTCAGCCCTAAATTTGAGCGGAACCTATCAAATGCCACTGGCCACTCCCATTTCAAAATAAAAGAAATAAATAAACATGAGATTGATTCTCATTTCTCACCCCATTTCTCAATTTTATTAAGTAAACATGCCAATATTGTGGTAGATCTGATTGATAAGCAAATGGCTTAAAAGGTTACCAAAACTTTTGTGTAGCTGCGGCTTAGCCTAGCGTTAAATTCACATCTCGAATAGTACGAGATTCCACAATCAAGTATCCCTAAGTTTGTATACACCAGAAACTACTCGGGACCATTCTGAAGACAATTGACATTTATACAGCCTCACAGCACAGACAATTTACAAAGAAGTTAACAACTTTAGCTCTTAACAAAGTGGTATCTGGATTCAACGTAGCTTTCAGCATCCCATAAGAAAGATCCAAACGCAACAGCCTCCAAGACTAGCATTGTTAACCCTGAGAAGGTGATTGACAGCAGTTCATCGTTTGATGTATCAATTGAACCATCTTCGGCGATTTTAATGTCGGGCCTACCGAACAGAGCCTGTGTCTGTTTCTCAATCAAAGAAATGGCTTCTTTGGATCTTATAGTAGCATATCTTTGAAGAGTTTCGGCATCCAAGTACATCACATAGGATCTGAGTCTATATGACTTGCCATCTTCATTGATATCACCACCATCATCATCTGGCGGTACCCTGATCAAGGAATCAGGATCCCATAGCCGGTTTGCTGGTGATGGCTCCTCAAAACTATCTCGGTCTTTACCTAAATGCTCAGGAAGCGTTTTCATGGTTCTCTCAAGCTGAAACCGTTCATCAACTCTCTTGAGAAAATATCCATACATTATGGAAGCGGCATACAGCTTCCCGAGTTTGATTTTGCTGATCTGAACAGTGGTCTCAAGGGGCCCGACAACTCGCTCTCCTAGTACGAGAGACAAGTGACTCTGTATCATCTCAAATGCTTCAGGAGAATGAACGGATTCAAGTTTCTGCTCTTGGTGCGGCCAAAAATCTACCCGGCCAGTAGGATCCGAGTTTTCTGTAATCTTCGGTATCATTGAAATATTATTCTCCACAAATTTCCACGCAACAAGGCAGTATATTATCTCTTCCAATGTGTTCCGCCTGTCCTTTTCTTTGACTTCAGCTATTCTCCTGAGAATGGTTCGACTCTTAAGTCAAGCCAGATTAAGCACTAATCAAAGAATTGAAAATAATGCAACTCAATAACCCAAAAGGTAAACCAGAATACTAGATCCATGTCAACACACACACACACAGAAAACGACGACAACCATGAGAAATGAAGCGCTTAAACAACAAAAGAATGGTGGTTCTATTAAGACGGCAAGGACAGTGAGAGTATCAATATGCACAGCCTGGAGCATGGTGTAACTACTGTTGAGATTTATTCACAGACTGACTTTACAGATTTGAATTTTACCACACTATATTATACACCTCCACCTAATGTTTAAAGTGCTTGTATTCCTGCATTCTTCAGGTGCCAGGTCAGTACAATCAATAAGGTTTTACATTTCAATAAAGGGCCAGAAACAATGCATCTATCACGTGGATTTCAGCAATGACAAGAATCTCTCACGTGGATTTCAGCAATGACAAGAAAGTGTGATGTTTCTGTTGTTAATTGAGATAAAATTTGAAGAAATTGTATTACTGCACTACAATTACAATCGGGTTTATATACAGAAGCCCTAGCCTTAGAAACAGTAATTACTAGGTTATATCTCATCCCATAATTTGTGGGATATCCCAACAAAAACGGAAACTAATCAAATCAACCTAATTCTAGGGAAAATAACAATTATATTCAAACTTTCCTAATTTAGTCTATACACGTGTAAAACACATTCTCCTACACTCTCCCTCAAGTTGGTGAATAGGTATTCACCATTCCCAGCTTGGATACAAAACTCTGAAACACTGAACTACTTAAACCCTTGGTGAGTATATCAGTAAGTTGGCCATGTGTACATAAGGTGCACAGATCAGTCCACTGTCCAACTTTTCCTTGATGAAGTGTCTGCCAATCTCGATGTGCTTCGTTCGATCATGATGCACCAGGTTGTGTGCTATCCTGATTGCGGATTTGTTATCACAATAGAGTTTTCATAGGACCATCCCACTTAATCTTTAGATCCTCTAGAACAATCTTCAACCATAGTAGTTCACACACACCTTGAGCCATTGCTCGGTACTCTACCTCAGCACTAGACCGTGCTATCACATTCTGTTTCTTACTCCTCCATGTCACCAGGTTTCCACCAAAGAAGGTGCAATAACCAGAAGTTGATCTTCTGTCAACAACTAACCTAGCATAGTCAGCATCTGTGTATGCCTCAAGAACTAACCCTCCATTCTTCTTGAAAAGGATGCCTCTACCTGGTGTCCCTTTGAGATATTGCAAAACTCTATATGCCACCTGCAAATGAACTTCCTTTGGATTGTGCATGAACTGACTAATCACACTCACTGCATACGCTATATCTGGCCGAGTGTGAGAAAGATAAATGAGTCTCCCCACCAACCGTTGGTACATTTCTCTATCCACCATAGTGTCTTCTTCTGCCTCTCCAAGCTTGAGATTTGGTTCTATTGGAGTACTCACTGGTTTGCATGTTGTATTGCCGGTTTCTTTGAGTAGATCTGTAACATACTTTTGTTGAGAGATGAAAATGCCTTGCTTAGAATGAGCCACCTCAATTCCAAGAAAATACTTCAATCTTCCTAACGTCTTGATCTCAAACTCCGTAGCCAAACATTGGCTTAGAAGTTGCCTCTCTCTATTATCATCACCGGTAAGAATTATGACATCAACATACACCAATAGGGCTGTAACTTTACCTGAAGATGAGTGTTTAATGAGCAAAGTGTGATCTCCTTGACTCTGCCTATACCCCATAGTTGTCATCACTCTAGCAAACCTCTCAAACCATGCTCACGGTGATTGCTTAAGTCCATACAAGGCCTTTTTTAGTCTACATATTGTACCAGCAACCAAACCTTTATTATAACCCGGTGGGACCTCTATATAAATTTTCTCATCTAGTTCTCCATGTAAAAATGCATTCTTGACATCAAACTGCTGCAATTCCAATCCCAATTAGTTGCTAATAACAATAAAACTCTAACAATGTTCATCTTTGCAACTAGAGCAAACGTTTCTTGGTAATCAATCCCATAGGTTTGAGTATAACCCTTGGCCACTAACCTAGCCTTGTATCTTTCTATTGACCCATCTGTTCTATATTTTACCGTATAAACCCATTTACACCCTACGGGTTTCTTTCCTTCAGGCAACTTCACTAATTCCCAAGTTTTGTTCTTCTCCAACGCCTCCATCTCCACATTCATGGTATGCTTCCATTTTTCATTGGTTAAAGCCTCGGATAAATTGGTAGGAATGGCAATGGTGTTTAGGCTGACAAGGAAGGCTCTATGAGATGGTGAAAAGTGTTTAAAGGACAGGAACTGTGCAAGAGGGTATAGGGGCCAGTTTGTGCATTCTCTAACTCCTTTCCTGATAGCAATTGGGAGGTCCTGGTCATCATTGTTTATCTCAGATTCATATTGAAAAGAAGGATTAGAAATTGTTAGCTCATTCTCAGGATTTAGGTTGGGAGTCTTGGACTTGCACAGATTCAGGGACAACCTTCTTCCTTCTCGAGAACACATTGCCTTGGCCAAATCTTACATTATCAAGGGCCGGATTTGAAGGTGGATTTGCAGGAGACTCAGGATTTGGATTTTCAGTGGGCTCGGTGGGAGGAACATTTTCAGTAGGCTCGGTGGAAACATCAATGGGGCTAGGCTGTCTTGACACTGGAAGTGATGAAGATGGCAGATCAAGAAGCAAAAAATCTGCCTTATCCTTATCTTCCATTACTGAATTCTCCCCCTAAAGATAAGAAATAGTGAAATAGGATTCTTGTTCATGAAAGGTCATATCAACTGAGACAGAGAACCGTTTTGATGGGGGATGATAGCACTTATACCCTTTTGAGTAGAATAAATATCCCACAAACACACATTTTAATGCCCTTGGATCTAATTTTCTCCGGTTCTAACTATGAACATGAACAAATGCCACACACCCGAATATGCGAGGAACAAGATTATTTGTGGTGTGTAGGTTTGGATAGAATGTGGAAGGACATTTATTAGACTTTTAAATCCTAGGACTCTAGAAGGCAACTGATTTATGATATGGGTAGCTATAAGAACCGCTTCCCTCCAAAAAAAATTTAGGCACATTTTTCTGAAACATGAAGGATCTCGTGGAATCGAGGAGATGACCATTTTTCCGTTCAGCTACTCTGTTTTGTTGTGGAGTACTAACACAAAAGGACTCATGTACTATTCCTGCTTTCTGAAAGTATGGAGTTAGGAATTGATTGAAATAGTCCTTAGCATTATCCGACCTAAATCTTTTGATATTGACCCCAAATTGAGTCTTTATCATAGAACAAAAATTTAGAAGAACAGTGCTGACATCGGACTTCTGTTTAAGCCAAAAAATCCAGGTTACTTGAGTACAATCATCAATGAATGACACAAACCATTTAGCCACATTTACATTAGAAATAGTGGAAGGACCCCAAATATCACTGTGAATGATATAAAAAGGAACGAAACTTCTTTTATTACTGATTGGAAAAGATACATGTTTGTGTTTAGCAAGTTCACACACTTCACAATGAAAACGTTCAACATCTAGACCCTTAAATAAACAAGGAAACAACAGTTTAATAATCCTAAATGATGGATGCCCAAGTCGGCGATGATGAAGCCAAACTTTTTCTTTATTGGATGAAAGGGACTCTGAGACAAAAGAATGAGATGTTATGCCCTTGGTAGTGTTTGATTGGCTTGGTGTTTCGAGATAGTATAGCCCATCCCGTTCTCTAGTATGTACAATCGTCCTCCCCGAATCCTTGTCCTGAAATACACAACCGCTTTACAATGCAAATCTTTAGTGAGCTTTTAGATGGAAACAAGATTTGTGGTTAGCCTAGGGACATGGAGAACATTTTTTAACAATAGTGACGAGCTTATCTTGATATCACCTATACCTGCCACAGTGGTCAATGATCCATCGGCTGTGACTATTTTCCTATTACTTGGACATAGGACATATGAGGAGAAAATTTGTGATGAATGAGTCATATGGTCGGTAGCTCCCGAGTCAATAATTCAGGAGCTGGTAAAGGCTATATCCGAGACATTTAATCCAATGGAGAATGGAAGTTTACCTGAATATGCCAGTGAACAAGTACCTGATGGTTTTTTAAGGTTGCCAACAAGTGATCTCACCCTCTCAATTTCTTCTTGGCTGAGATTTCCCATCTCTTGTGGTGTTCCTTCATGTGGCTGCATTGCTGCAATCTGGGCTTTGTCCATTGTTCCTCGGTTGCTCTCCCTTTTGTCCCCACTCTCGGCTTGGTGTTTTTCCATGTGGTTTTCAACACCGCTCACGAGTATGACGTGCCTTCTTGCAGTAAGTATACCATAGTGTGTCTTTGTAGTCACGGTTTTGAGTCTTTGGCTGGCTGGTCCTCCCATTCTCCACCGCTGGTTCTTTTTCTGCATTTGAGGCTGTCTTATTGCTGTTACTAGCAACCAAAGCCGAATTGTCAGTGCCCTTTGGTTCAAGCATCAATTCCCTTCTACTTTCTTCTCCTCGGATGAGTTCCACCACTTCATTGAAGCTTGGAACTTCCTGTTTGCCAAGAATCTAAATTCTAACTAGGTCGAATTCTGGATTAAGTCCAACAAGGAAATCATAAACCCTATCTTGTTCAATAAACTCCTTTAAGATTGCTGCATCATCGGGACACTTGGTCTTAATTACCCTATAATGATCAAGTTCTTGCCACAAACCCTTCATTTGATTAGCATATTCAGTGACAGTCCTATCTCCTTATTTTCCAGCGATCGTCTTAACTTTGACTTCGTAGACTTGAGCAGCATCCTTCGCCTTGGAGTATGTTTGTTGAATTGCATCCCATATATCCTTGGCAGTGGCCAAGAACATACATGTATCGCTAATCTCCGGAGTCATGGAGTTCCACAGCCATGCCATGATCATCGAATCCTCCTCATCCCACGCTTCAAATCGTGGATCTTCCGGTTTTGGTACTGTTCCTAAGAGGTGGCTGATTTTTCCTTTCCCTTTCAGCACAGCCCGGACAAGTTGGGACCATTTAAGGAAGTTTTTTCCCTCCAGCCTATATGCGGCCTGAATGTTTTGTAATTTCCCGACTTGTTGAGGCCTAACGGTTTATGCATCCTCCGATCGTGTTGTAGTGGTTGTTTCTGCCACCTCCGACATTCTCAATCAACCAAGCGGTCTCAAGGCAATTAAGGCCGGTTGTGTCAAGCAGAATACCAGCGATGAAGGCTAATACAATCCAGGCACAGCAGTGGCGGCAGGGTAGAAAAAAAAACAGGGCAGCAGTAACGAAACAGTCCCTTAGCAACAGAGCAGAGAAAAGAAAAACAACCCTTGGCGATGAAGGCTAGGGTTTCAACCCTTGGCAATGAAGGTTAGGGTTCTTCGTTCCCAGAAAAAGAGCCTAAAGCTCTGATACCATGTTGTAAATTGAGAGGAAAAATTGAAGAAATTGTATTACTGCACTACAATTACAACCGGGTTTATATACAGAAGCCCTAGCCTTAGAAACGGCAATTACTAGGTTATATCTCATCCCATAATCTGTGGGATATCCCAACAAAAACGGAAACTAACCAAATCCACCTAATTCTAGGGAAACTAACAATTATATTCAAACTTTCCTAATTTAGTCTATACGCGTGTAAAACACATTCTCCTGCAGTTTCCAAAAAGCTTCATCACTCAAAGAAAACAGAAAACTATGTATCACAAAGGTATGTAAAAGGCACATCGAAGCCAAACTCATATATATTAAGTAAAAGATTGGTATCAAGGTGGCCGTTCGGGTCAATCTCTACTATAGCTGGAAAACTCACGTTGATCACTAAAAGTTTATTGTCAATGTATCAAAACAGCATTATACTTCTGATTTTGCAAATTAGATAAGCCTCTCTCCTGAGTACTTTGAGGTCTGAAAGCGTATGTCGAAGTTCATTACCCATTTTTAATAAATCAGCCTGCACGTCATCATTACCCATTTTTAATAAATCAGTCTGCACGTCATCATCTCAGTGATCCTAGAAATTTGAAAAGTCATTCCTCCTATTCAACCTACTTCCTTGGTCTTTCAGTATATCCAATAAGGTCCCCAAGCCCACCAAGAGAAACCAGATGTAAAAGGTACAAATACACTATTCCTCGAGTTGATGACCAGGAACACATAATCCCAATGATTTTTATTCAACCAATCATCATTTTTAAACTCCCAAGTTATACCATAGAACATGAGAGAGAGAGAGAGAGAGAGAGAATTGAGTTTTGAGTACTGACTTGTAGAGTAGATCCTGAGGCGAAGAAGAAACTTCCTTTTCCTGGGCATCTCTATCAGTTTCAAGGTTCTCGAGCTGCTGGTCAATGGCCACAGGGAGTAGATGTGGGTGTGTTTGCAAAATCTGGCACAAAAGCTGACCGACAGGGGATTCAAATTGAAGAGGAGCAAATGGCACCAAATTACCACTTGAATGTTCAGACGCTCTCACAGTCACATCTTTTGCTCGATACTTGTACAACGCATTTCCAAGCTTGGGAAAGTAAAATGAAGGGCAGCTCTAGATACAAAATAACACAAAAAAGTAAAACGTTATTACTATTTCAAGAATTGCAAATCCTCATGGATCGATATTGTAGATTTTCATCAATCACAAAGGAAAGAGTATGAGAAATCCTCCACGATATATTATTGCAGGAATTACAGCCAGACAATTAAATAATAGAGCTTCACCCTGCAAAAAATGCTATTGAATTAACTGAACAGACAGGAACAAAAGGAATGCAAAAACAAAATGCTGGGCATATTGATGGAAAATAGATAGCATGCGCCGAATGGATCAAAGAAGGTTGGGCACCTCTACAAAAAACTATTCAGGCAAAATTTGATTGATATTCCTATACAATTATAACTTTCTACGGGGCTCTACGTAACAAAATTTGAATACTTTTTCAGACGAAAAATAATAAGCCTTGACTTGTCTTTAGGTCCATCGTGGAATTGAACCAAAAATAAAGTTCTTTAATTCGATGATTCCTTCAAGCTAGAGCAGAATCTTTTTTTTCATTATTCATTAACCAAATGTTCACATATCAAACTCTCCAATTTACTATCTCACCTTCTACAAGAACCTAATCCCGCAAACATACAATCAGATATAGGCTTAATTATACATGTTATATATTTAAAGTTCACTCCCTTCATTTCTAAGACTATGGTGAAATTTCCCTGCTTATATCACTCTTAAATTTAATCATTTAGAGAAAGAAAAAAAAAAAATATATATATATATATATATATTTATCGTTCCATTTCTGAGAAAACTTGGCCATGGAGGAATAGTTTCAAAAACAAGAGGTTCCAAATACAAACCCTGCCAGCATTCTAAAATGAAATTGGAAGCCAAGCGCCGGTCTATATTCCACTCAATTTTCTCAGTAACCAAACAGAACATGCGAAAATAAAAACTAACCGCGCTTTCTCAACTCCCTCCGAACACAACGAAACTTAATCCAAAGAGGAAAACGCAAGTAAGAAATCCGAAATTCGCGTCACTTCCCATCAAATTCAGCAACCAAAAGGATTCGGAGAAGACAGCGAGCGAGAATCAAACTCCAAAATCCAAAAGAATAAACAAATCTAGAGAAAAACAGACGAAAATGACAAAGAATCGAAAGGCAAACTCACTCTGAAGAAACCAGAAGAAAGGAAGGACTTGGAATCGTAGAGCGAATGACAATGAAAGTGCCGGGATTCTGGCCCTCTGAGACCACCGCCCTTAGGGATTACCAACGAGACGTCGCTTACTACGCCTGAAACCTGCATTTTTTTTTCTTTTCTCACCGCTCTGCAGAAGCTGTTTGTTTCCCGGGAAATTTCTGTCTGCGGACAAGGTGCTAAATATTCTTTCGTGTAGTGAAGATTTTCTTTTGGTCCGTCATAGAGACAATAATTTGAGTTCTGATTGGCTATTATTTGCAGTCAGAAAAGCAAAACGAAATGGTTGGGATTTGATCTTGGACCGGATATTGGGGATGAGTGAAACCGAAATTTTGTAGGTAAGAATGAAAAAAAAAAAAAAAGGAAAAAGAAAAGAGAGACGGAAAAAGGAAAAAATTTTAAAAAATTAAAAATAAAAAAGAAACCACTTAGGAAACGTTTTATTAAGTGAACATGATAATAGACAAGAATAAGTACAAGAAGAAATTATTTAAACGGAGAATTCAAGAGGAAAATATATTTTTAGGAATAATATATATAATAAGACAAAAAAAATATAAGAATGTAAAAAGGGAGACAAATAAAAAAAAAGAGAGAGAAAGAGAAAATGGCAAAAAAATTAAAAAGAAAAAAAGAAAGAAAGAAGAAAGAAAAAAAAAGATTTTTTAATATACTTAACCTATTAATAAGTTATTTTTTTAAATGTTAATATTTATGTGATTTTATATAAATTTAACGGATAAAAAAACTTAAATTATTAGTGTATTAACGTACTAAAAGGTTTTAAAAAAATACAATAAAGGAACTCTTATTTATATATATATATATATATACACACACAGACACACACACGCACACCGAGTAGAATCCATTGTTTGTAGAAAATGAAACGAATAAATAGAGCGAGCGAGCAAGCAAGCGAGCGAGCAAGCAAGCATTTGCGAAGAAGTGCACGTTTCTCAATTAAGCAAATGATTTTAGTTTAATTTGACTTTTATCAAAAATATCAAACTGTCCGAAAAAAAAATTAATTTGTTTAATATTTTAAAAAATAACCACTCAAATAGCCCACGAGCGCCCCAATTCACAGAATAGATTGAGGTTATTTTTTGGCATTCTTTATAGTGAGATCTTAAAAAAAATTCATCAATGAGACCTTTTTTTTAATCGTTCAATTAATTCTTCAATTGTTAGATATGTATAAGTATGTATTAAAAATTTACAGCGCGCCGCACACAACTATTCTTTCTGCATATTTAATCATTAAAAAATTAATCTAATAATTAAAAACAGAGATCTCACCAATGGTTATTTTTAGAGGTCTCACCGTAAGGATTGCCTTACTTTTTTGTTTATTTTGACCAAAGAAATTAGTTTTTGTTTTAAAAACTGAGAGATATAAAGTTGACAAAAAGATTTTGAAGAGATAAAAGGATAGATGAAATCTCTGATTACTACTGTTATGAAAGTGTACATCTCCGAAATACAAAACGTCGTATTTATAATGATACTTAAATTTACTGTGCATTACTATTCATCTACGCAATTTTACGCGTTGCACCGCATGCTGTCAGAAGGTAGGTGGGCAATCCACAATAAAAGTTGTAATGCTTGACTTTGTCATTACTCCCCCTTAGATGTTCACCTCTTATGACGCCTCATTAAAAATCTTACTAGGAAAAACCCACCAGGATAAAAAAAATATAGCAAACGAAAAAAGAGTACATCATTAATATATACGTGTCTTATGTTGTCTCGTTAAAAACCTTAGTAGGACAACTCAGTGAGATAAAATCATAATAAGGAAAAATGGTACAACCACGTAAACTCCCCCTCAAGTTGACATGTATAGGCCTTCTTTATAAATTTCACAGATGACGCATCCCAATACTGTGGATATGATTTCTGAACGTTGTAGTAGGAAGTGCATTTGTGAAAAGATCTGTTGTATTTTCACTTGATTGATTGTATTGAATATCAATATCCTTGTTCTTTTTGAACTCTTGGGAGTATGAGAAGAACTTCGGGGGTATGTATTTGGTTCTGTCGCTTTTGACGTAACCTTCTTTTATTTGAGCGACATATTGCATTGTCTTTAAATAATACTGTTGGATTTTTACTGATAGATAGTCCACAAGTTTCTTTGATATATTACGTCATAGACCTCAGCCATACACATTCTCGACTTGTTTCATAGAGTGCAATAATTTCGGCATGATTTGAAGAAGTGGCAACAAGAATTTGCTTGTGAACGCCATGAAACAACAATACCTCCACATGTGAACACGTATCTAGTTTGAGACATGGCTTTATGTGGATCTGACAAATATCCTACATCTGCAAAACCAATCATCCATTGTTTTGATCCTTTAGGATAAAATAATCCCAGATCATATGTTCTTTTAAGATAATAGAATACATGCTTAATTCCGTTCTAATGTTTTCGTGTAGGAGATGAGCTAAATCTTGCTAATAGATTAGTAGCAAAAGTTATATCTGGTCACGTACAATTAGCAAGATACATAAGAGCTCCTATTGCACTTAGATATGGTACTTCAGGACCAAGGACTTCTTCTTTATCTTCACAAGGGCGATATGGATCCTTTTCAACATTAAGTGATCCAACAACCATCGGAGTACTTAACGGGTTTGCTTTATCCATGTTAAAGCGTTTTAGGACCTTTTTAGTATAGTTTGATTGATGCACAAGTATTCCACTTTAAAGGTGCTCAATATGTAAATTAAGACAATATTTCATTTTTTCAAGGTCTTTTATTTCAAATTCATTCTTTAAGTATATCACAGCTTCTTGAATTTCTTTATAAGTTCTAATGATGTTCAAATTATCGACATAGATAGCGACCATAACAAAATCGGATGTTGTTCTCTGAATAAAAACACATGGACATATGGGATTATTCACATATCCTTCTTTTGATAAATATTCGCTTAAGCGATTATACCACATGCGTCCGGATTGCTTCAACCCATATAACAATCTTTGTAACTTAATCAAACATATATCTTTAGGTTTTGAATTTAGTGCTTCAGGAATCTGAAATCCATCAGGAACTTTCATATAAATATCACTATCAAGCGATCCAAACAAATAAGCTGTAACAACATCCATAAGACACATCTATAAATTTTCAAAAATTGTTAGGCTGATTAAATATCTAAACATAATTGTATCCATTACAGGAGAATACGTTTACTCATAATCAATCCGGGTCTTTTTGAAAAACCTCATGCAACAAGTCGAGCTTTATACCTACCTTATAATTTCATTTTTCTCATTGTGTTTTTGCACAAAAACCTATTTGTATCCCACAGGTCTCACGGCTTCAGGCGTTAAGACAATGGATCCAAAAACTTTACGCTTATTAAGCAAATTTAACTCAACTTGTATAGCATCTTTCCATTTAATCCAGTCGGGTCTATTTTGGCATTTAGAAACGGTTCTTGGTTCAGGATCCTCAGTTCCGTTAATAATTTCACACGCCACAGAGTAAGAAAATATTACATCAATATTTTTCATTTCATTTCGATTCCACAATCCTCTTATAAGAGATCTCACTATTCTCAAAACCTTCAGGATTTTCTACAACATAAAGAATCTCTTTGTTTGTATTATTTTGTGTTTATCCTGGAACAGTTTCCTCCAAATTGGGGTCATTATGCTCATTTGATCCCTTTCCTTTTCGATGTTTTTTATCTTTGGAACCGATAAGTCTACCACGCTTTAGGCATGTTTTAGACATATTAGTGACTTCATTCTCAGATTGTCCTTTTGGGATTTCAATCCGAGCGGGAGTATTTGCAGCTGGTGCATATGATTTAGTTACTCTTCTTGTATCAGTGAACTCATCTGGTAATTGATTTGTTAAATTTTCTAAGTGCATAATCTTTTGCACTTCTAGTTCACATTGATTTGTGTAAGGATCAAGATGCAACAATGATGGTTCACACCATGTAATGTTCTTTTCCAGTTGTTTATTTTCTCCCCCTAATGCCGATAAGACTGCCTCGTTAAAATGACAATCGGCAAAAACGTGTTGTAAAACATTACCAGTTTAAGGCTCAAGATATCTGTGATAGAAGTACATTCATAGCCAACATATATTCCCAGTCTTTTTTAAGGACTCATCTTTGTGCGTTATGGTGGAGCAATTAGTACATATATCGCATAACCAAAAATTCTTACATGGGAGATATTTGGTTCTTAATCAAATGCCACTTGTTGTAAAGGGGAATACTTATTATAAGCACTTAGTTTGATGCGAATTAATGACGCGGCATCGAAAATTACATGACCCCATATAGAAATAGGTAGCTTTGTTCTCATTATTACTGGTTTAGCAATAAGCTGGAGGCGCTTAATCAATGATTCAGCTAAACTATTTTATGTATGCATGTGAGCAATAGGATGTTCGACAATAATTCCAATGGACATACAATAATCATTAAATGCTTGAAATGTGAATTCACCAGCATTATCAAGCCTAGCTTTCTTGATTGTATAATCAGAAAATTGTGCTCGTAATTTAATTATTTGAGCAATAAACTTCACAAATGCCACGTTCTGAGTTGATAATAAGCAAACATGTGACCATCTACTGGATGCATATATTAATACCATAAAATATCAGAATGGGCCGCACGGTGGGTGTACAGGTCCATATATATCACATTGAATACATTCAAGAAATATAGGTGATTCTATTTCAATTTTGGCTAGTGAAGGCCTTGTGATCAGTTTACTAAGAGAACAAGCCTCACATGGATCATTCATTTGAAAGATCCGTTGGTCTTTTATTGAATATCCATGTGAACTTTCCACGATTTTTCGCATCATTGTTGAATTAGGATAACCCAAATAGTCATGCCATAGGGTTAATATTTGGGGATCTTCTTTAATTACCATGTGTGACTCTCTCACATTTATATATGTGTAATGTAATCCCAAATAGAGTTTTAAAACTTTTCTAATATGTACTTCTTTCCTAATACATTAGTAGTTAAATACATATATTTCTCATTCCTTTCAGTTTCAGATTGTGTATCATATCCATAAAGATATATGTCTTTGCAACTCAATAAATTTCTTTTGGACTTTGGTGAAAATAGAGCATAATTTATGGAAAACTTTGTTCCATTTGGCAATACAAAACTCGCTCTACTAGTCCCCTTAACTAGATCTATAAGACCTGATATTGTATTGATTATTGTCTTTACTAGTTTTAAATCAGAGAAGTACTTTTTAGATTTTAGGATAGTGTACATTGTACCACTATCTGGAATATATAAAGATCTCCATCATTAACTTTG